CCGCTGATGCAAAGCCGACTCTCCTCCTCTCCCCCCCCCCAATAATCCTGGATCCGTTCGTGTGTATAGTCGAAGCATAAATAAAACTAAGTGATATACATTTCTTTATTTTTTCAACTATCTATTTATTTATTTTATTTATTTATTTATTTATTTTAATTATTATTATTATTATTATTATTATTATTATTCTTTTTTGCTTTCAGGGATAAATAGGAACATTCAAGATTCACTGTTGCAGTCTGCCTACAACGTACCTCCCATAAAATGCCTACCATTGCCAGGACCATTGCCAGCCAACCCGACATATTATGTTTCTTAAAGTGCACAAATGCGGCTCAGGTACAATGAAGAAAATTTTAGAACAGGCTTCTCTTAAATATAAGTTAAAACGTCTCTCTCCGAAGAAGAACATATTTTTTTACCCATGGAAATCTATGTTCAATATGAACCGTAGGAAAATAACCATAAAAGACGCCAACTATAACCCGAATGTAACCTATGATATTATTTTCAATCACATGTTTTTTGACTCAAAAGTAATAGAAACCATGATGCCAAATGATACATTTTATATCGGTATAGTTCGCGAACCATTTTCTCAGTTTCAAAGTGCGTTCAATTATTATCGTATTTCAAGTAAGGCCACACTTTTTTATTTTTATGGATGACATCCTCTGGGTACCCCAAAATCGGTGCGAGAGGGCGAAAAAAAAAAAAAAACAGTCCAAAAAAAAAAAAAAAACTGCTTAAGAAAAGGAATGCTGTCAGAACACAGCTGGAAACACAAATTTAACCACAGAAACACGTATCAAACTAACAATTTGTCTTTATCCATGCTCTCAGAATATTAAAGCATTGTGAATACTTCGTAGAAATGTAAAAAAAAAAAGTCATGAATTGATATACTTCATATTACCAAATCTATTTAAGGTTATTTCATGCATTCATTTGGTATAGCAATCAATAAAACAAATATCAATCAAACAGTGTGTCTTTATTTGCATTCTCAGAATATTAAAACATTTTGAACACTTCACAGAAATGTTTAAAAAATGATGCAAAGATATGCTTAATACTACCAAATCTATTAAAGGTCATTTCGGACGATGCCATTTTGTCAACTTCAACTCACACGAAGCAGCTAAACTGTCAGGTGGCCTGTCTGACCTTCAGCCCACCAAATACCTCGACGCCCTTGTCGACCCTTTTTTCACTACAGAAAACCTGGTATTAATGTGCTGCTTTATACAGAATGTCAGAATGGCCGCCACCAGCCTTTTGTACAATTGTAAAAAGGTGCTATCTCCATGCCCAATATCAATGGCATACCAATCCAAAACGATGGCGCCCATTCTCTTTATGACATTGTTGTGTAATTTGAAAGTAATCCTAGAGATGAATTTGATAGCAAAGTGGCCGCATTTCCACGTGGCGAAAATACACATGCGCAGAAAGCTCATTTCCTTGCAAATTCAATAACGACATTTGCGACAACTGACTTCGTTGGGGGCTGAGGGGGGGCTTTTTTTTTTTTTTTTTTTTTGGAGAATGGGCGAAAATCCATGCGCGCGCAGGATGTCATCCATAAAATTAAAAAAGTGTGGCCTAAATTCAAATTAAAAAAATCCACGAACCCGGTCGTGGAATTTATGGAAAATCCATACAAGTATTGGACCGACGCCTATGTCACAACCCATGTAGGCTTCTTGAGAAACGCCATGATGTATGAGTTTGGGTTCCCAGACGATAGAAATGATCTCAGGAACAACGACAGATTCATTGCCGAATACATTGATTTCTTGGACAAGAAGTTCGATTTTGTAATCGTCTTGGAAATGTTTGATGAGAGTTTGGTGCTACTACGCCGCTTGCTGTGCTGGGGCATGGACGACGTCTTATATGTGGTTACTAACAAACGGGAATATGAATACAAAAATGTGAAAGACGAAATTACTGTGAAGAAACATAGGCAATGGAGCAAAGCTGACTATCAGTTATATAACCACTTCCTGACAAAGCTACAAAACACTGTTATGTTGCGAGGGTCGGACTTCAATCGGGAGGTGTTGCTTTTCCGTCAAGCAATCTCGGCACTCGGCAAATGTAAGCGCCCACGTTTAGAAGGTTGCAAAAATGATTTCCAAAATTTATTAGCGGGCTTATATTCACATTGCTAAGTCAGCAATTCCAGAGCAACTGAGTGATGGTGGAAATTATAGTTAATAATGGGAAAAAAAATGAAAATCTTAGTTCAAAAGACAGGAGTACAATATACAGACTTGACATTTAATATGGAATAATTTTTTCCAAATCATAAATCATCAGTTTTTTTCTGTTTTGGTGACTGATAAATGAAAGTAAGGATTACAGTCGTGTTTTAATAACTTTTAATAATCTCTTTATTGTCATTTTGACATCAGTTCATTGATTGAATTCGCTAGTGAAGCAAACAAAAATACATTGCCTTTTTCTAAGTCATACGACAACCATTGAAAACGATATTTTAGATCTCCATATTTTCCAAACTATCGTCTTTAAAAGAGTTACACGCCCCAAAATGGACCCTCATGTCAGTGTCTAGTCACATCTACAGTCGCTGTTACGCCTGACCTCATCTGGCCGCTACCAGAGCTTTCAAGTGGCAAGGAATTCCTTGGGATAGGTTTTTAGATATCACTTACCTGAGAGAATCTGCTGGATATATAGGACCATGAATAATAACAACACAATATTCAAAAATGTTTATTTATTCATTGTCAAGTACATATCAATAGCATCAATGCACAGTCATGATTTCACACCATCATATCAATATCAACACAACATATTCATAATCAGTTGAAGACACATTCAAAACTCACACATCGGGAGAAATGTAGGCCCCCTTTCCCTCAGGCAAGAAAAAAATCCAGTCAAATGAAATATATACAGCCTAGGCAAAATATGTACACTGCAGTCAATGTCAAGTTCGACAATTACGCCAAACCAAGCAACAAATCCTCAACAATTCCTCGACCGTCAACTCTTAGCTGTCCACGTAGACCTATGCGAATCGGAAACAAATGACAGATTAGTTTCGATAGTAGTTTTTTTTTTTTTTTTTTTTTTTTTTTTTTTTTTACCTCCGCTAAGGAAGTTATGTTTTCACCCCTGTTTGTCATCAATATAACTCAAAAAGTTATGGACCGATTTTGATGAAATTTTCAGGAACTGTCAGAAGTGGGCCAAGGAACAGATGTTTAGTTTTTGGTGGTGATCCGGATCACTAATCAATCAATAATAAATAATAAAAAATAATAAAAAAAACTAAATCATTATAGTAGAATGAAAATTTAGGGGTGAAACGGCATTGGGAAGAGACTTTGCTGCCTTGCGGAGGTCTGCGCTCTCAGTCTGCTTTTCTTGTTCGTATATACCTCAGGTGCTTTTATTTCTCGCACGAGGTCGCAAAATGCCCAGATTTGGTTATTGTTAAATATTTATATCAGGTACACATTGAATTGTAGATAAACTGAAATGTGCCTTTTTGTTGTTCTAAAGGTCTGAAATGTAATTATAAAAAGGTGTATAGCAAAGGCAAAATGTGGTTTTGAGGGCTTTTTATACATTAGCGTGATATCTGATACAGCATGTACAGTAAAGGTATTATACTTACTCGTGCTGTTCCTTTAATTAAACGTTGTTTCGGTTACTGTTCCCTTGCATGTAGTCCCCATATAAAACGTTTTATGTAAATAATGAACGACCATGATGGCGTTGCTTTTAATGGAAATTAAAATTCCCAATGTGGTGAACACAAAGGTTATTTTGAATGGATATCACATTTGAAATGAAAAAAATATTTCCCAATGGTTTACTAGATTTGCTACCGATACCGCTTTGAATAAAACCGTCTTAATTTTACCTTCCAAAGATATCCGGTACGGCAGATATTTTCCAAGTTGATTAAAGTGAGAATTAAGATGTGTTTATAAGACACGAATTGGAAAACATTAGCCCTCAGACTAGCCATAGACATTAAGTTGTCGGATTGTCTACTTTCGGGAATGGGTCTGAAACTTTTTTCTATAAGAACAGAACTGGCTACATCAGTAAAATGTTGAAAAATATCTGAGGCACATGTTATCTCTGTTCTTCGCACAACATACACACCAACATGTCTTAAAGTCTTTTGTTTCTTTGTCAGCCACTTTAAGACACTTTAAGGCCACTAACAATAAAACGACCAAAGGCATAGGAACAATGCCCTGGGCGGATAAGTTTTTATAAAAAATTTAAACATACTTCCCAAAAGGCCAATTATAGACGGAGATTTTCTGCAGTCTCCAACGGATGAATCTATAGCGCCAATTTGGGGCGAAAAATGCCGTTTTTGGATTTGGGATTTTCTTTATAACCAAGATAGCTATTCAAGTGATTCAAACGGCCTCATAAAGCCGGGTAAAAGCATTTCAATCGGGTTCCAGGGAATTGTCTTAAACTATTTACTTTTGATTTTATCGTCTTTTGCGTTAAATTTCCCAATATTTCAATGGGTTATTCAATTCAAAAGACAATAACTTTTAAACAAACAGTTTCCTCTAAAACCTCTGACATCAGGCTGTAGTCCACATTTTCAACAACAATTAGTGCAACTTTCGTAACGATCGGTTGCTCGGATAGTGAGATATACATGAAAGCGATTCACTTATCCCGTCAATCTAGAAAACTGTTAAAACAGCCAAAACGTTCACAGGTTGGTTAACAGAGCTTATTAGTCAAATGCTTAGCTGGCAAATTTACCTGCTATCGGTTATATGATCAGATGGAACCATTGCTCATTGTCATCTAAAAATATTTTGTTTGGGTGCTTTGAAATGGCAGAAAATCGTGCTTTTGTTACATTTTCCGATCACGCGTTAGACTTGTAAGCGTGCCGCCATTTTAACTGACAGCTCTGGAGAGAGCCCTAGTCTAGTGATGCCCAGTAGGGTGTCAATAATATGTAGAAGGAAGCGCTAACAAAGGCGATTGCAATTAACCGCAATTAAGAGGTGTTAAGTTGCATTTGAACGTTTCAATGTGTCTTTCTCCGCAATCGAGTAATTTTACCTGGGAGAGTGATCAGATGAAACTCTGTCGAGAGCAAGTGGCCGTCACTTGTGTTAACACGAGTTTTTGACAGGTAACGCTGCAGGATTATTTTGCACGGCACTTGGTAATTGTCAGATCAACAGAAAATACATCGATTACTTTATGTACAGCGGTATCTCTCGAAATGCCAGCTAAGATAAAGGGGAGACGTTCAGCGGCCCAAGAACCAGCGGCAAAAGAGGCTGAGAGAAGGTTTTGAAACCACGAACGTGTTGATTGTAAAAAAGTACCTATTTATATATTTTGAAGCAAGTAAAAGTTGCGTCGGCATTTTACTGTGGATTGCGTCTAATACCAGATCACTCATCGTACTTTAGGTCAACATGAAGTTATTATTTTATGAATATGCCTGATGTGTTGAGGTACCACGTACCATCCGACTGAACAAATGCCGGTTTTCCCCAACCGCCGCGCATACTCTCTTTCAAAATGTTCCTTTTTTCCTCTGGAAATGGAATTAAAACACGAACTTTTCTCTTCCCCATAGCGTACTCGACTTCTTCACTGCTTAGCTGAAGTAAAACTTATGACCTATGCGGTAAAATGGTAAAATGTTATAATTGCTGTCGTGGTGAATTTTCAACCATGTGCGATATAGATTGTGTAACCCCCTCCTGACTGTCAAGGTGCTTCCATGGCAAAGGTACGGGATCTCACAAATGAACAAAGAAAAGAAATAGTTTCAATGTGGGAGGAGGGTGTTGGTGTCCCCCAGATAGCAGCAAGTTATTGTGAGTTTGGTTGCAGAAAAATGGGGTCACCGTCGATGCCCATTAGTCACTTCAAATTGGCCGAAAACGACTATTGCCAGAGACGGCATGTGTGCTTTTATGCTGTCAAGACTTAGAGAATTTGAACCGTGGAGCGACTTAGATTTGCTGTAATTGAACAATTTGCAGTTTGAAGGTCTGTCCAAAGAAGGTTCCTTGCTTCAGAAATTCACACCACGGTTTCCAGGTAGAAACCGCTCATCACCTTGGTAAACATACGAAAAAAAANACTTTTGATTTTATCGTCTTTTGCGTTAAATTTCCCAATATTTCAATGGGTTATTCAATTCAAAAGACAATAACTTTTAAACAAACAGTTTCCTCTAAAACCTCTGACATCAGGCTGTAGTCCACATTTTCAACAACAATTAGTGCAACTTTCGTAACGATCGGTTGCTCGGATAGTGAGATATACATGAAAGCGATTCACTTATCCCGTCAATCTAGAAAACTGTTAAAACAGCCAAAACGTTCACAGGTTGGTTAACAGAGCTTATTAGTCAAATGCTTAGCTGGCAAATTTACCTGCTATCGGTTATATGATCAGATGGAACCATTGCTCATTGTCATCTAAAAATATTTTGTTTGGGTGCTTTGAAATGGCAGAAAATCGTGCTTTTGTTACATTTTCCGATCACGCGTTAGACTTGTAAGCGTGCCGCCATTTTAACTGACAGCTCTGGAGAGAGCCCTAGTCTAGTGATGCCCAGTAGGGTGTCAATAATATGTAGAAGGAAGCGCTAACAAAGGCGATTGCAATTAACCGCAATTAAGAGGTGTTAAGTTGCATTTGAACGTTTCAATGTGTCTTTCTCCGCAATCGAGTAATTTTACCTGGGAGAGTGATCAGATGAAACTCTGTCGAGAGCAAGTGGCCGTCACTTGTGTTAACACGAGTTTTTGACAGGTAACGCTGCAGGATTATTTTGCACGGCACTTGGTAATTGTCAGATCAACAGAAAATACATCGATTACTTTATGTACAGCGGTATCTCTCGAAATGCCAGCTAAGATAAAGGGGAGACGTTCAGCGGCCCAAGAACCAGCGGCAAAAGAGGCTGAGAGAAGGTTTTGAAACCACGAACGTGTTGATTGTAAAAAAGTACCTATTTATATATTTTGAAGCAAGTAAAAGTTGCGTCGGCATTTTACTGTGGATTGCGTCTAATACCAGATCACTCATCGTACTTTAGGTCAACATGAAGTTATTATTTTATGAATATGCCTGATGTGTTGAGGTACCACGTACCATCCGACTGAACAAATGCCGGTTTTCCCCAACCGCCGCGCATACTCTCTTTCAAAATGTTCCTTTTTTCCTCTGGAAATGGAATTAAAACACGAACTTTTCTCTTCCCCATAGCGTACTCGACTTCTTCACTGCTTAGCTGAAGTAAAACTTATGACCTATGCGGTAAAATGGTAAAATGTTATAATTGCTGTCGTGGTGAATTTTCAACCATGTGCGATATAGATTGTGTAACCCCCTCCTGACTGTCAAGGTGCTTCCATGGCAAAGGTACGG